AATCTTTTTGTAGTATTTCAGATTATCCTCTCCTTTGAGGCTTTGTGACAAGCCTAGCTCACATGCACATCTTGTTAATACTCCCTGTTTGATGGAGAAAAATATGTATTGTTTTCTTCTTGCACTGATGTAAATTGGCCCCAAGAACACTCCTGCTATCTGAGTTCTCTACTCCTGTGCCACATTCCAGCCCAGAATATGTATTTTTTGGTTGTGGCCTACAGCTATCTATATGTGTCTAATAAATAAGACTTGCTAATTTAACTTTTATTGCTATTATTGCAAAAAATTTGTGTATTGCAGAAGGGTTGTTGAAATTCCTCTGAATACTGCCATGTATTCTCTAATTGATATTTTCTCTCTAAATTCTACTTTTCTTCATCATCCTAAGTATAAACATCATTTTCCTTTTTGTTGCTAAATTATCTTAAAATATTATTATATGTAAGATCACAGTGCTTCTTTTTGATAATTTGAAAATCCATGCCATTATACATAGTGCATTTATTTCCTTATTATTTTATCATGAATTTTATCTAATTCTTTGTTAATTAATAAAACTACTAAAGATTTTTTCTCATTGTATTTGTCAAATAATACTCATAATAACTGTGATGTCTTGTCTTTGAAAGTTTTTCAAGTGTAATTTGGTTTCTACACATCTTTCACAAAAAGGCTAATTTTGTCATTTTCTTATCAAATTTCACAGTTTATGCAGTGTTCAAGGGAAAAACTTATTTAAATTTTATAATAATTAACATGTATCCTTTATTTTGCTATGAATATTTTGTTTTCCATTTTCAGATTACTTCTTATTCATATTCTAGGGTTTATTTTTCATGTATTCATATGTACTTTCTTTTGTTATTCTACTGTGTACCTTTTAGTTGGATAAGTGCTATATTCTACACTTGTAATTTATCATTATTATATAACTAAATAGCAGCTTCCAAACTGGTTTTTTTTTCCATTTGTTTAGAAGTTAATGGACTTTTCAACTTTCAGCCCTTTTTATATCATTCACCTATATTTTTTTACAACTGTTTCCTGCATTTTATATTCTTCTTTCATATCTAATTTATATTTGAATATTTTCTAATTTCTTGTGTGCTTTGGGATTTTTTGGGGGGGTGTACTGATTTATGTTTTCTGCCTAATTAAAATTGAATTTTCTACTTTTTATCATGTGATATAACCTATGTATGAAACTTCCAGTTTTTATTATTGATTGATTGATTGATTGATTGATTGATTTTTGTTACTGAGGATTGATCTTGGGTCCTTGCACTTGTGCAGCAGGCAGTAAAACCACTGAGCTAAATCCCAGGCCCAACTTCCAATTTTTAAAAATCTACATGTTTCTTTGAAAATTTTTATTTTGGAGGTTTTCTGGTTAATATGTATTGTTGATTTTATTTCTATGAATAATTTATAAGAATTTTTTATTTTCGTGTTGTTATGTTTGAATATTTAGTGATGAAATATCCAAATCCATTATTATTTTTAATGTTTTTGTGTTATTGATAATGATAAAAAATTGTGGATTTCCATATGTGTTAAGCTGCTTCTTGTGTCATTGCAATTTGAAGTGATTTTAAGGTCTTTATTCAGTGTCTTTTTTTCCTTCAGATGATGCTAGTGTCTGCTTCAGTCAAGTATTGATTGTCTTCATTTCCTTTTCCATGACTCCAAGTTAATCTGAGAATATCTGATTTCTCTCCTTCCAGTAACTGGTAACTCAAAGCAAATATTTCCATAAATAACTGGAAATAAAGAAAAAATGAAACAGGTGTCTAAAAACTCTTTAGTAATGTGACCTTTAAAAATAAAATACTAAATACAAACTATCTGAAAGTCGGAAGGAAAAATTTAAACTCTTAGGAATTAAAACATTAAATTATACTTAGGTAATAAAATTTGAAGGGAAATGAATTGAAAGCATATTAAGATTTTCATCTGGCATTGGGGAGTCAGTCAAACACATTTTTTGATGTGGTCTTGTAATAGATATTCCTTTACAGCTGATAAATTTAAACAAAATTCCACAACTATCCTACTCACATATTCCTTAAGGACATAATTCTAGATACATCAATTTAGAAAGGCAAAGGTAATTAGTGATTTAGAAGCACATTTATAATCTTATAATGTGACATGTTCAACAGAGATTTTAGTATTATGAAGTAATGTATTGAAATATTATTATAAGATGGATAACAATAGCATCTTTTAATCTTTAAACAAATCATAGATGATAGAGATGATGATGATGAACATAAATAAACAGATATACATGTTAACCCTGATAAATCATATTTTTATCTTACATATGATCCTCTATGTATAAAACTCAAGCTACCTGTATCAAAAATGAAGAAAACCTAATATGATTCAGGTTTGAGCCTGATGAGCAAGTAAGTTCTTTACTTGAATCAGCTTTGGAAATGCCCAAAAGAGGGAAATCTTTTGTTTAGCCACAGAAATTCTGATTCAGCAGTATACTGGATGAACAGTCAGAGTTGAAATCACACCCTCACTTCTACTAATATAGGCACAAATTCAAACTTATTACATGTTTAGTGAATATGTAAGGAATGTAATAAATCAATAGTCACTCTGAAGAATTAGGATTATGTAACAGACAAAGTCAAATCAGTGATTAGAATTTAGTAACTTGAGGCCACATAAACACCAAGGGAAGAAAAAAGATGAGAAAATATGTTTCCTCTTAGCTAAAACATTCAAGTGTTGTATTTCTTGGCAAATAAACAAAAGGAAAGAATATTATATAAGAAAGTGAAATAATTCTCCAGTAGAAAACAAGGGAAAATATAATAAATATATATTCAATATAATTCAGTATTGGAGTAAGAGATTGGTAAGCAAGAATATGAAGTCAATATTAGAGAAGCTGATAAAATATTATTAACATATAACAGAATGGCCATTAAAATAGGAAGCACTCAAAAGATTTAATTAAATGAAAGAAAATTAGGAAAATTAATTCTAAAGCAAATCATGTAAGAAAATGAAACAATATGCAAATTCATGTAGCAAGATTTAAATCCATGTATTTACCTTTGTGAAAGATCTGTTTATTAAAATGTACATATAATTACTCAAAGGGACTGAAATAAAATATAATGTAAAATTGTAGAAATATACCTACATATTTCAGCAGAGTTCTGAAAGAATAAAAATTGCAACATTCAGTAAACCCAAATGTATTTACAAATTATTTTTTAATTAATTGGTATTGTCTGCTAAAATATTATTTTTTGAAGAAAAACTATAGATAATAATTTGTGTGTTTGTAAAGTTTGTATTAGCTAGTTATAAGTACAAAAATATGCAAAAATAATTCTGGGTGTGTCATTAAAACCTGGATAGTGTTTCTTCAATCTTATCTCTCCTGGAAAGAGAAAAACATTATCTTTACCATAGGATATAGAACACATTATACTAATCAGCACTCATTTCTTAAACATAGATTAACCATGGGAAAATATATGCCTTTCACGTTGTGTCTCTAAAGATAACTAAAACAAAATTTCTGTCCACATTCACCCATGTAGAGATGTACATGAAATGATAGAAATGTGAAATTCCTTTATTCAAATATTGGAAAATGTAAATAAAGTCAGTACTTTATATTTCATCCAATAAAAATAACCAGCTTATAATTGGCAATTTTTACTGCAATTAAAGAAAAACTTTTCTAAGCAAAACACTGAGCTTCCTTATATACAGAAGAAATGGCTCATGGTAGGTGTTCTGTGCACACCAAAAGCTGCTGTGTGGTGGAGCCACTCACTCAACTTCTAGAAATCTCATGTTAACAACAAAAAACTGTGCTGTGCATGTGCTGTGATCTGCTCTGGATGCTGAGTAATGATTATTGTTAAAGAAGCTGTGTGTTATTAGCTTTGCCCATAAAACAATATTCCAAATATTCCGACGGAATATTGTTTTTGTGCATTAGAGTTGGTTAGTATTTCTCTGGAATTCCTACTCCATAAAATTAATATGCAGTAAGACAGCAGAGAAAATAATTGAAGAGAAGTGCCAGTATAAATATCTGATGAAGTAGAAGATGATTCACTCAGAAACCTAAAAAAAGTCTGAAGAGGACTCATGATTCATAAAGTGTACAATAACCAACCAAAGAGTAAGTGTATATACAGTTGTCAAAACTTTTCAACCTAAGATCACTAACATCAAGCATAATGGGGGAAATGAATGTAGTATATAAACAGAAAAAAAATTTTGTCCTAAAAACTTAAACAAAATCATACAATTCTATTGAAGAAGATGAAAACATTAAAGAGTATATTGCATTTTAATCCTTAGTTAGACTTTCAGTTTCTTACACCAGCGAAACTATTCAGTATTTACACATGTGTGTCTTATTTATTTTGCTTAAGAGTATCACTTCAATGTGCACCCATTATCTGTAAATGTCTTAATTTCTTGTTTTTTATGGTTGAGATAATTTGAAACAGGAAAAAAAGGTCCAAAGTGATAGGGGATGTGGGAGGGGAAGGGGTAAGGAAAAAAGGGAAAGGAAAAATTTTAAGAAAAGGGAAAAATGGAAACAAAGTCTTTGTAACTAGGGAAGGGAGCACAGGGAATGGGGAAATATAAGAATCAATATACATCATGTACAGGTACAAGCACCCAGTGATAAATGTAAATGTATTATATATCTAAAATGTACCAATAAAATAATTTAAGAAAAAAAAGAGTATATTGCATAGGTGTCAATATTCACCATCAAGTTCTATTGATGTTCACACTATTCTCATGAAAAATGAAAAGTATTTTATGGCAAAAGCAAAACTTTAGGGGTTTTTAAGCATAAGAATTCTTTGAAATTAGTGAAAGTAATTCAGAA